GAGACTGAGTACCTCTGTCTTCACATCCTGTTCTTCAGCAGAAATAGGAATCATTATATAGTAGAGCCCTGTATTACACTTAATTTACATATTTATTTGTGTGCTAGCAGATTCGAACACTATTTAAGCTTATTTTATTCCTCCATTTCTATTACTCTATTAGGCTTCTAAGAGCAGTTAAACCAATCTTGTTCACCTACAATGGACATAAAGCCCCAGCTTAATTGGGGTGTTATGAAAACGAAATGTTCTGTTTGTAGACTCCTTTGACATGTCAGGTGCAAAGTCGTATATTGCTATGTTGGTTGCTTTTCTTTTTCAGGTGGGCTGGTTTCCATCCACGTACGTGGAAGAGGATGAATAAATTCTAATCCAGCATTACACCCTGCACCAAAAATTTCAGAAAAGGGATGAACAGAAGCCTGCACTGCATTATGAATTAAACGAAGTGTTTAAAAAGCTGCATTTCTGGCTGTTCAACATCCTCCTTCCTTTACCGCTCCTAAGTCTTAATGCTAGGATTTCTAAAGATGCCGGTACTGACAGATTAATGGCTTGCCTGGAGCTGTGCACGAAACGGCCTGCCAGTCTGTCATTATTAGGGACCAGGCAAAGCCCCAAAGCTTTTCTTCCTAACAGAGCCCTGCAAACATATGAGTTCACATTTCTCCGTACTTCATCCCATCAGACACCATGAATGGTAGCCATTAGTAAATATTGAATGCATATTTACTTTGTTCTCATGTACCAGTCCCCAGAATTTTTGGTGGTACAAAGAAGCAGAAGTTTAATTTCTCTTTTCCCAGCATGAAGAAAAACTAGAGTTCTGTCATTTGGGCAGCTTACTGGAAATTTCCAGGCATGGCTTGTCTTAAATTGTTCAACGTGACTCATTGCCTGGCAAAGACTTTTACCCCAGTGTTACTCAAGAAAATATGAACCAAGTGCTCAGGTTTGAATCCTAAGTGATATATCCCAGAAGGGTTTTAATTATCCATTTGATGTCCTGATTCTATTTGTGAATTTCTTTATCAAATGAGGGGAGGGAACACACGTAAACGAGAGTGTCTTCATATTAAAGCCTCATGATCTTCATGATTTCATAGGACATGTAGTACTTAACTTGATGAAATAATCTTAGCTAGGTATGGTATGGGGAGTTGCCAGGAACCTGAGTTAAGGTGACATTGTCTATGGAAACAAATCAAGGGCTATGATTTATGTAAGTCATTTTATAGCAAGCAATATCTATTAACACATGCCTTTTCTTCCCCTGCCCCCCCCCAAAAAAAAAACAAGAAAGACCTGAGACATATTTGCTGATTCCCACATTTTCTTGGTATATTTAAAGTGATACAAACAACTTTGTTGAGGATATTAGAAGCAATGCACAACTGGGCTCTTTAATGCATTTCTGGGACAGAAGGAAGGTCACTGAGCTTTTGTGAGCTTTCAGCTTCTCTATGAATCTTCCCATCTGCAGGCCTTTCCTGGGAGTGTATTAACTAGTGGGCAGATGAGGTTTGCAGTGAATTTATTTTACCAAGCTTTCACATTTTTTTTTTATGCGAGGTGTCTAAATATGTTCTTCCCGAGGTGCACAGGGTCCTCAGTCAAGGCAGTCAAGGTAAGACACCAACTTGGCCCTTTTCTGCATAGCAGAAATATTTTCTACATAGCAGAAGCCATGTTCTTCCAAGATTCAGAGAGTGTTCCATGTTTGGGGGAAAGAATAAACAAAACCCAAAACCAAAACCATAAGAAGCATTAACTTACAGAGCCAAGTTAGGAGCATTCTATTCTAAAATTTTGGATCATTTCTGAAATAAGGTAGATGCCTGCCCCATCCCCTGTCCACTTGGGCATCTGAATTTGATGTTCACTGGACTCATCCACTTGTTAGAGACCCTCATGGGTTAGGACTTCTCTCATTTTGGATAGTCACGACCTTTACCTCAGAATTATGTAAACTGTGATTGTGTTTTAGAAAAAATTATTTGCTAAAACCAGTTAAGTTTTTGTATATGTGTAAATGATCATGAAAATGGATTTTATAAAGTATTCTGTACAGTAAAGTTACACCTCCAAGATTAACTCTTGGAGTGGATTCTTTCTTATAAAGTCTTATCTGTGACTCTCTGTCTCGGGAATGTTTTGTCTGTTACAGTCAGCCAAATGCTGTTATGGAGAGAGCAACTTCACACAAATTGAAACACTTCTGTGTACAGTATTGTAGCATGTATTGTTCACCTTAGTCAATAGACTGCCTCCCTTACAAATGGTGTTTGGTCTTCCTGTTGCATTTCATGGACCTAGGGGTTTCCTCACGGAGAATATTAGAAACCCCTTTCACAACATTACTGATGATGAACATCTTTGTCTACATTAATACTCTGTATTGGAAATTTCAAATGTTATGGATTTGTGTAGATTTCTAATACCAAAGACAGAAGTAAATGTTTTCCATATACTTTGTCTTGCCAATATGCAGCCCAGTGTAATATGGTGAATTAGACTGGTATTTCACTTTGTAATATTTTGTAAATATGTCAATACAATAAATAGTCACTACTTGCATTAAATTGATTTCTCAAAAATTGAAGAGTATTTTCATTAAAGGATTCTACACTCACAAATACCAACATTACCAGTAATGTGGGGACACAAACCGTAGTTTGTGGGAATACAAGCTCTAGGCCAAGCTTTAGCTCAGGATTGCTGCCTGAGTCATGTATAACTAGAGGATAAACTTAATAGTTGCAAATATCATCTACTGACATGCTTATGATGTGCCTCGTATTGTCCTAGGTGTTCTACATGTACTAATTTACAACCTCAGAAGGTAGAACCCCATGTTGTCTTCATTTTCAGATGAAGAAACTGAGGTAAATTAAGAGGTGACAACTTTTGGAGTCTCACAGTTGGGTTCTTAGTTGGGCCATCTGCCTTCAAAGCCTGAGTAACTACCACCCTATTCTCCCACACTTTGTAGGACAAGAGAGAGATGAGGTATGTTTTCAAGTGTACATAGTGAAGAAGAAACGATTTGATACTAAATAGTGGTTTCAACAGCTGAAGATGAACTTGGAATTCCTGACCCCTAAAAGAAAATCCTAGCCAGATATTGCCTAGAGAAATTGGTATCAGGATTTAACTTTTTTTCTATTTTGATACAACTTTTGCATTAGAAAATAATGATTGCTAAGCTATACTGACTTGGAATTTAATTTTCTTTGGCAGACCAATGTATCTACAGGGTAGAGGTTGTCTCAGGAGGGAAAAGGGGAGAGTATGTTTTTCTAGGACTGGGAAGGGTCAGAGCCATAGAAGTAGTTTCTGACTGACATCACTATCACAACTATGCTCAGAAATAGAAAATTCCCTGATTTTCTTTCTTTTTTTGGGGGGGAGGAGAGGTTTTCGCTATAGGGCACGTGCGCTCGCCAAACAGACAGAGAGAGACATAGAGACAGAAAGCGAGAAATCACCCCCCAGGGGGATGGTCACGCCGTAACCCCCTCTCCTCCATTCTCCTCTCGGGATCTTGGGCACGCACGCACATGCGCCCGGCGTGAGTTTTAAGCCACCGGGTCCAGGACGCGAACTGCGGTCAACTACATGGGAGTCCAGCGACATAGCCATTACGCTAACTGCTGGTTCCCCCTGATTTTCTTTATAGTACAGCCCTCACTCCTTTATCTGAGGGGTTAATGTGTGTTATACAGCCTTAATTTCCTTCATTTTATTAATATTTGAGGAGCTATTTCCATTGGTATCTATTTTATCACTTCTTCTCTTCAACGTAGTAACATCGATGTGACTTTTAGGCCATGTAGCATATCACCATTTCACTGCTGTTGGTGCTGAAAACTTTCCTCCTGTATTTGTGAGTTAACATGGAAATATTCCTTTGTAGTATTCAAGTATTTTGTCTTCTATCAAACAATTGAAGTGAAATGTGTCAATAATTAGTATTTAGTCATCATGCTTTGTTCTTCTTAATCAGCCAGCTGTAAAGTGTGACAAAAGCATGGCCCCAAAAGTCAGACCAGCTGTTTGGGTTCATATCCCATTCCCTGCCATGCAGAATTTCAGCACATCAAGGAGGATAATAGCACTTGATTCATAGGATGGGTGAGACTCAATTGATAGCTACATATAAAGTGGTATTGTGTCTGGTTTGTATAGAGTCATTATACCTGGAAATTTTGGAACTTTCTAACAAAGCTAGAGTGTTTCAAAAGGGGTGGTTTTTGTTATCATTGCTGTTATCATCAGATGTATTTACTGACATATTTGGGTAGTTGCTGCCTTAATTTTTTAATTCTTTTTGCATAATTCAGGTTCTTTTATTGGATTAAGGGAAGTAAACTGCAGATTGTAAATTAGATGGCCTCTCTAGGAAGAAAATTAAACTATTTGATATCACAGGAAAACATCAGTCAGACAGCCCTGGCTTCAAACTTAGCTCCACCATTGTCTCTTCTAAGCATCAATTTGCTCTTCTATAATAAGGAGATAACTGTAAGTTCCTGACAGAGCTGTTGTGAAAAATAAACAATAGCCTAGGAAAAAAGACCGCAGGTACAGAGCCTGGCACATAGTAGGTACTCAAGGAATATTGGTCTTCCTCCTTTTATGAACTGAAAAATACTTGGGTTCCAAATTATGTACTTGCAGCCTGCAGCCTTTATTTTGAATACTAGTGAGATATCAACCTTTGTTTCTTACACAAAGTTTAATTTGCAGCATTCAAATTATAGACAGAGTAAAAGGTATATGACCAGGAAGATTAATATGCCAACCCACAAATAATCTCAGCAGTTGAATTTAACAGCTCCACATTATTCTGACCAGGAAAATGGAATTTTTACCCAGCTCATAATCATTCAGACTTAGTGCATAAGTCACTTCATTTTTCACTGAAACTAGTTTTCTGGAATTTGTTGGACTCTGATTAAAATGTTATGCACCTACATCCGGTCTGACAGACTTTGGAAGTCACCTCCTTGTAAAGACTGAACAAGTCCTAGAAAGGAGTTCAAAAAGGAACCCTCTCTCCAGTTAGATGCCATTGATTAGACCAGGTTGGGTGAAATGGTGTAAGAGAACAAACCAGCCCTTTTGAAACACTCTAGCTTTGCCAGAAAGCTCCAAAATTCCTAGATACAATAAAGATACAAGTGATGACCCAGGCATGCCCAACAGATGGGGGGAAGACATCTGAACAGACATGGCACATACACAAAAGGCATTGCATGCCTGTCCTCTGCTGAACACTGGGATCTGTGTGGAGAGTCCTGAGTAGAAGGAAGGTGAAGTGCCCTACCATGATCTGGATCACCCAAGGTTGTGCAGGTAAGAATACTGACCAGGTAAAGACTCAAACCTTGGTATTCTGGCTCCAGATACAATAAATGCTCTCTTATTCCTTGATGATACATCAGAACATAGGAGCTTCTGATTTTCCAGAATTATCTCTATCATAAGGCATTTCCTTGGATTCATCCTGGAGAGCTGCTGTCTACCGTGCGTGTAGCTTCTGGGATCCTATGTCAGGTGGGAGTGTGGCTGGTCACAGTTCTCGCACTTCTTGCTGCCAGCATATATCGATGAGTTTGAAATGTCTCAATAAATCTAATAATGACTCAGGAGTCTGATCAGCCAATGCTTGTGAATGATTTCAGTGACCTCGCTACAAAAAAGGGAAAATTGGGCTTTTATTTTTTTTAAACCTTGATAATTTGATAATTTTAGGTCTGTCTGCCTTGCTCATTTAGATGTTCTTTAAAAAAAAAAAAAATTAAAAAAAAAAAGAACTGTTATGTGCCAGACAGTATGCTAGCCTTTTGTTGTATCTTACCTCACTTACCTCATGGAATCTTTCTGAGAATCCATCAAGGATTAACATCATCCTATCATCCTATCTTTTAATCATGAACACTCTAGTCCTAGTGAAGTAACACTTCTATACTAGGGATGGCTTTTAAGGCTATTTCATCTATTATACTGTCTATTTTACTTAGTCTTTTGTTTAAGAAGAAGCATAGGCTAATGCTTTAAGGCCTTAGCTTCAGAATCCAAAGGTCTGTCTCTTTACTTACTACTTGTATGTCCATATGTTGCTTATTCCTCCATTTCTCTACAGTTCACATGGGGTAATGACAACACCGTACTTCAGAGGGTTTTTATGAAGGTCAAATGAAACAATATAAAATTTTTTAGCAAAATGCCTGACAGTAAATATTTCGCAAACAAAACTTTTACATTTTAGCTGCCATGTTAAATATACATACAAAAATAAATG